CACGCCCGTCCCGTTCACATCCAAAGATAGGGTTACTTACCAAATCAATGGTAAGATAACAATGTCAAAGGAAAGAGGAAATAAACATGAAAGATTTTTGAGTATGTAGATTGTTCCTAGTTGCTTGCTCAATTTCAAAACCAAAAACATCCTTGCTATTTTCAAAACAAACACCAACACTTTCAAAACATCTTTCAAAATTGATAACATTTTCAAAAGATCAACACTTTGTATACATTCTTACGAACGAGAATCATTACAAAGTTTACCTAAACGATGACGCCTTTTCAAAATACTTTCAAAAAACCATACAAAACATATTTTCAAACAAAAGCAAGTGATCTAGCAAGTAACTAAGAGCCCATGGAAAACCATGGATGAAAAGGGTGCTAATACCTCCCCTTTTCATAATCTACCCCCCGAACTCAAGAAACAATCTCAAAGGTATTTCCTGTGCTTTTTCACCTTTCCTTTTGGATAAAAGAAAAGTCGGCGGCGAATCTTGCTAACCGCAATATTTGCGATCAAACGCAAAACACCCAAGTCAGTTCTCCCACTGCATCACATTCATTAAGAGCTATAAAATCAAAATCAAAATTGGAATAAACTGAGAAATCAAAGTTGCGGGGAACAGTAGACAAACCAGAAAGTTAAAGCCTGGAATGACATGGCTTATTAGTGTAACCAAAAGTGGTACCAAAGCCTCTTCCTCTAGTACTAATACTACTCAGTTCAGTTTCCATGATGAGGGAATCAGATCTCAAACCACAACAACAGCTCATTACTATAATCTAGTTCTGGTTTCACCAACACCACCCTTTGATTCTTCGATGCCAAAAGTTGAGACTTGTATATCTGAACACGCAAACGGTACCATGAATCAAAATGCATCGTAGTGAATGAATGGTTACAAGATCATAAAAGGGAAAAACAGAAGGATTGAAGAATTTGAAATGAATGTAAAACAATAAAGTGAAAACCGAACCTTGAAAATGTGACAAAAGTCGATGTCTTGTTCGTCGTTTGCCATTCAACTCTGACCACCACCATCCAATGAAAACACCCGCCGTTAAGAAATTACAATTGACGAAGATGATGAAGAAAAGGGGAAATGTAGAAGATATTGAATAAGGATTTGAGAAAAAAATAAGAAACGTAAAGATTTGGAATGTTGCAAAGGAAAGATTTGGGAAGGGAATAGGAATCGATAAGATGAAGAATAGGTATTTGAGAAAAGAATCAGAAAGAATATAGATTTGAAAGAAAAAAAATTAAACAGTAATGTAATGATTGTAAGTGTCATAACTACTATAAAAATTATAGATTTTTAAAAATTATTCACGTATTATATTTTTGAAATAAAAAGACAAAATAAACTTTTTTGGATATAATAACTTTTCTTATATTATAGATTTATTTAAAACTTTTGAAATATAATAAAATTTTGGCGAACCATATCAGCATAATGTGTAAATACAAGATATGGTTATCTTTTATTATCAAACAATTAAAATTAGTTTTCTTCTTCTAATATTGTTTGTTGGTATTGAACGTCTTCAATGGATAAGATAATTTAAAAAGAAGTTAATGCTTACACGTGTTATTATTTTTAAGAAATTAAAAGGCAATTTTATATTAAAAAATGATTTAGTTATTATACAAAAATTTAATAAATAATTTTAACAAAAAATAATTTTACATAACGGATAATTTTAACATAAAATAATTTTATATATCTAATACTAGTTTATTATAGTTTGATTCGATAGAATACATAATTATTATTAATTGATAGTAAAGAATTAATTTATATTATTAATGTATATTCTATTTTCTCATAATTTTAAGATAATAATATTTCTTTTTATGAAATTCTTAACATAAATTTTTATTTTAGTAATTCTATTCCCATATTAACAATAATTTATGTAAAATATGAAATAAAAACTTTTCTTTTTAAAAAGAGTTGTTTAAGATTTTCTTACATAAATAAAAAAATATAATAAATATGTTAAAATACATATACTTTCATTATCTAACTTTGAAAATAATATATATTATACTAATTAAAAAATACAATTAAATAATAATAATAATTTAACAATAAAAATTGAAAACAATATTTAATTTAAAATAAAGTTTTTATTTATAAAATGATACTAAGTAATTAATGACATACTTAATTAAATTAATGCTTTAATAATTTTTGTGATTGATTGTTTTTTTTGTTTGATTTATTAAAAAAAGTTGTTTTTAAAAAGTTAAAAAAATAATATTATTTATAATTGTATGAAATATATTTTGAATTATATAATGATTAAAAAATAATATTGAAATATATGATTTTTTAAATTTAATTAAATATTAATACCTTCAACCAATCAAACAATATAATATAATTTATTTTAAAATAAATTAAAATTTTAATCTAATTTATAAAAATATACCTATCTTAAATTTAAGAGTCTTAATTATTATATACCGTTAATGTAAAACTTTTTATATTACTAGTGCATCATAATCACTCAATTATATTATTTTAAAAGAAATTAAATTAAAAGTTAAATATTTTTAATAAATTAATAGTTATCATTAGTTGACATTATAAAATTTCTATGTATTTTAATTAAAATTTCAAAAAATGTATTTTTAAATTTTATTGATATGCGTAAACAATTCTAAAATATTTAGAAATATTTATTTTGAAAAATAGACAATTTTGGAAAATAATCAAAAAGCATGGGGTATACATGGTAATTCAAGATTCTATTCCATTTCAACATACACCATAACCTTATATTAACGATCTAAACCGCTTTACTCTGCACAGAATAATCTTCTTCTTCATCATTCTTCACTTTCCTTCAACGATCCACACAAAATGCTTGCGATTTTCGACAAATCGGTTGCTAAAAGCCCAGAGGGTCTCCAAACCCTTGAGTCAAACTCTGTTTCAGCCTTAAAAGACGGCTTTCTCCCACAACATTTCTCATCTGTTTACCCTGGTTCCGTCACCGTTAACCTTGGTCCTTCCGGTGTCTTGGCTTATTCTCTTAATCAACAGAACTTTCTCCTCCCAAGGTGCACTACCCCTCTTCTTTTATCGTTTATGTTTTTCATGATTTTAGATTAAATTATTAGAAAAAAACATTTTTCTGTTGTTTTATGCTTACTTTCAGTTCAACCTTTTCTTGTCTTGATCTGTGTGACAAGGACATGAGTGGCTTAGGTTCTTTGCGTGTGTTATAAATAATACTATTGTTCTATTGTTCTTTCATTCACAGATCTAAAACTATATAAATTTCTGTTACCAGAATCGTTGTATCTGAAAAATCTTGAGTTGAGATTGATCCTTGAAAAACATATTGTGAAAGACATATTCGTGAGAATCTAAAACATATGTTTCTTTTCTGTTGTTAGGTTGTTTGCGGTTGTGGATGACATTTTCTGCTTGTTTCAAGGCCACCTTGATAATGTTGCTAATCTTAAGCAACAGTATGGATTGAATAAAACTGCAAATGAAGTGATTATTGTCATAGAGGCGTATAGAACTCTAAGAGATCGTGGTCCATATTCTGCAGCTCAGGTCGTGAGAGATTTCCAGGGAAAGTTTACATTTATCCTGTTTGACAGTGGTGCTAAAACCACATTTATTTCTGCGGTGAGTTATGAGTTATGCTTGGTTCACCTATTTTGCTGTCTTATAGATATTTTCCAATTGTTTGCTGCTATAACATGACATCCTAATGGTGGTCTTTTATGTAACAGGATGCGGATGGGAGTGTTCCCTTCTTCTGGGGGACTGATGCTGATGGAAATCTTGTTCTTTCCGATGAGACAGAGACGGTAACTAAGAGCTGTGGGATATCTTCTGCACCATTCCCAAAAGGTAAATACTTAGATTGATGTGGAAAGGTAGTTTGACTATACAAGTTCTCTGTTGAACATTCCCATTTAGACCTAACTCTAAAAAATTACCAGCACATTAAAAGTGAATTTAGAGAAAAGTGAATTAAGAGGAAAAAAAGAATAACAAGTTCAATGGCTTGGAAATTTCAATGCCACTGTCTTTTAAGATAGATTGCGAATGATATTTTCTTTTGTTTCTCAACCACAATATTATTGTTTACTTGCGATTTGAATTTTATTTCAAGTTCTTCATCCAAGAGGTAACAGATCTTTTCACATTTCAGGATGTTTCTTTACAACATCAGGAGGTTTGAGCAGTTTTGAGCATCCGCTTAATGAATTGAAGCCTGTACCAAGGGTTGACAGTTCCGGCCAAGTATGTGGTGCAACTTTCAAGGTGGATGCAGATGTTAAGAAGGAACCAACTGGCATGCCAAGGGTCGGGAGTGCTGCTAACTGGTCTAATGATATCTAATTGCAATTCTATTTGTTTGAACTAAGGCTTTTATCTTAGCTGTACTCATTGAATTTTCAAGTTCTGGTTTTCTATTCTCATCCTTTGATAATGAGGAGTCTGTTGCCATCATATGATAGCTTGAGGTTCTAATCTATTGAGACGTGGCTTATCATATTAGTTTGCTGGACTGAGTACTCAATTGGCACATATCATGTAATAATATTGACTTGTCACTCTGATTCATCATAATGTGATGATTATTTACTGTCTTCGCCTGATCTTATTTCATTCAGGTTCATATGCATCCTACTTAAACTGTAATGTGATGGATATTATTATGTAAAAAGCCAACTCACCCCAGAAAGTCAAAGACAATAAGATTTTGAAATATTCAGTTACATTGTAATTGCCAGATATCAGCTGCTTACTCTATAAAAATTACATTGTAATTCCAGATATCAGCTGCTTACTCTATAAAGAAAACATATACAAATGGTACTAACATGATATCTATGGATTATACTAAGTGTTCGAGTAACAACACTTTTAATACAAGCTATAAGCATATATCAAGAAGATTAAATTTACTAAAGTCTCTGTTGTGGAATATTCTCAAAAGTCATAAGCAGCTGCTTCAGTCCTTTGCATCAGCAATGCCCCCTGGTGTTATCTGGAACACGTAACTCTTGTCAAGAGAAAACATGCAGACAATATTGGTTACTATTTCCTAAATAACAAATGCACTATAATTGGTTTCTATGACCATGATGATAATTTGGGCATCTGGAATTATCTGAAGGCAAATTCAAGTTGTTTTAATAACAAAAATTTCTTAACCATTGATTTGGGGAAGACTGTAAAGTTATAAACCACAAGCTTTTAATTAGCAAGTCATTTTTTAGTTCAAAGAATAGATTATATTATGAGTAAAGGATATTGCTTCAGCCTCTGGCAGGTTTGGTGCGTCAAACACTTTGCACACACGCTGTTCACCTTTCCCTTTCCTGAACATCAGCCTTATTGTGGCTGCATGAGCTAGCACGTGGCCTCCTGCTGGTTTCTTTGGATCAGTTATGAACATACCACCTCCTGGATCAGCTATGACTGCAAACGAAATATTGTGCAAATAAGCAATACACCTATAGTAGTCTTCTTATAAAAGTCACAAAAAGCAAATGATATAAAACAAAAGCTTTAAGATTCTAACGACTTGGGACTTGGGAGTGAAATATCAATGAAAAAGTTCATTCCTTTTTAGAAGAATTTTTTTACCTTGATTTGTCATATAAACTGCAACATTGAATTCCTCAGCAATCTTAATCATGCGGGAAAGCATCTGTGCCAATTTTTGCTGCAAAAAGTTCCTCATTTCAGAAAAAGTAGACCTGAAGGGATAAAAAATCTGTTGGTGCATGTATATGAAAGACTCACAGACCTGGCGTTCAGCAAGTTCTCCTCTTCCAGTGAAGTCCACCCGAAAAAGAGCAATCACAGAATCCACAATCTACCAAAAGTAAACATTCTGTCAAACTCTCAACATCACATGATATTGCAACACAAGATAACTCTCTTCTACTCCATTGTAACATCTCACCAAAAGTCTGAAAGGTTCTTCAGCCATTTTTGCAGCCAAACCAAGGAGGAGGTTATACTGATGCTCATAAGTGTAGGCACGAGCATAGATGATCTGATGCAGTCACAAAAATAAATTAGTTAGCAGTCAGCACCAAAACATTCATCTCCATCAAGCCAATTATGATACATACATTTAATTTATATACATGAAACAACGGAAACATACATTGTCCAATACAGCCCCTGGATCCATGCCAAATCTCTCAGCTATGGCAACAATTCTGTCAGGTCGACTACAGTGCGAATGAGCATAAAACTTAGGTAAGTGAATATCAATTGAAAAGACAATCATAAGTTATTGGTTTTGAGGGACTAGACATTCATCGTAATATTTTAAAAGCGGAGAGTATTAAGAAACATACAAAGTCCCTTCGGTGTCTATGTAAGCAACTTTTCCGTTGCCTCCCTTCATATTAGTTGGCAGCTGTAGTATACAACAAATATTTCAATGTGCGTGAAGGTAAGGCTAGTATGCACAAAAAATTGCGTGTTTGAAAAGCTATAAATGCATACAACGAGAGATACAAACACGCGATTTAGAAAAACATTGGGATCGAGCAGAGTAACACTTGAAATGACAAGTTCAATTACTAGCCATTAATATGCTATGATCAAGGATAGATGATAAAAGTAAACCTGAGTGGAAACACAGAGAGTATGAGCTAATTGTGTTTTCCCAGATCTGAAAATATAAAGTCCTATTGTTAGAATGAAATTCTTCGCTAACATGATAAAGTCCTATTGTTATAACATAAGACATCCAAAACTAGATAGATGTTGATTTCTTACCGGAATTCTCCAAATGCTTCTGTAATCGACAGTGTCTCGATTCCACCTTTTTTCAAACGTTAAAATTAAATTTAGAAAGAAAATAGTTACAGGCATAATGGATTCAAAATTAACAAGTCATATAAGTAGAAAAGTGCAAAACTATAAACAAGAAATTCTTGTTGTAAAGCTACCTCCTAGCAATTCATCAAGCGCTTGGCTTCCAGTTGTAATTTTGACCACAGACTTTCTCTGCACCGCAAATAAATTCCTAACTTAAATACACGTAATTAAGATCTACTTAAGCTTTAATAACACAACAAAAATTTCTATAATGTTAAAGATACACAGATCAGAATTAAATCCATAATTCAAAAAACTAGAAGCAAAGTAAACCACGTACTTTGAGCAGTGCATCACTCCCGGTAATATAACCAGAATTCTGCATAGGAGAAAAATTAAATTATTAAGAGTTGAAATAGTAATCTGAAGTAAGTTATATTTTCAAATATTAAAATCACTAACCACAAGCTTCTCAGCAGCTTCACAGATCTTATCAACCTTAGCCTCAGATAAACCTTTGATTCCAGTCAAGTTCTGCGGAAAATATAATCACAACAACATTATGATACTGATTGAAGTTAAGAGTAATTTAATTAAACATACTTAGATCTTCGAATCAGAGATGCATTTGAAGTTAAACCTTCTTCGTGTGCATCATTAAGCCATTGCATGTAAAGATCCCTGCGTCCTGAAGCTTCTTCACATCTCCAGCATTAATGCCTTGGGAAATCACTGCGAAGACGCATATTCATGTGAATCAGAGACAAAACGTTTAAACTATAATCAAACTAGTATGATCTGTGCGTTTCAAACTTGATATAATTGTATAACAAAATAGAAACAGCTAATTAACCAGCCAAAAATTTCACTGAGGATGATGATTCTATAATTCTAATCGATTTGAAAGATAACAAAAATTAACAGTTAATAGCAGCAAAATCGGAATGAAAAACAGAATGAAGATCTTACGATCTAAAACCAAGCGTCATGTTACAGAGATCGGTGTTTAGTAAGCTGATCTAGAGAAAACGAGAATCAAAAATAGGAAAACAGAGTGAAGAGAAAATACGCTTGTCGATAGCTTCGAAGAGATCTTCTTCATCTTCCATTTCTTCTCGTTCAACCAGCTGCATCTGGCCGCTGGATTCTTCAGATCTGAAAAAAATGGAACAAACGAGTTACCGACCGATCAAATTGTAAACAGAATTGAAATTATTTAACGGAGAAGAAGTGGATCTGGTTTCTGTTACGAACTTGAGGCTTGCAAGCATCGTGGTTGTCGAGGGAAAACTTGAATACAGAGAGAAATAGAGAGAAAGCTAGAGAGAGAAGAGAGAAGAGAGATTTTGAATTTTGAATGAGGTTTGAATGAAGAAGTGAAGGAACGCGTGTGTGTTGTTATAAGGCGGGAAATGAGAAGATAGTTACATACAAAACGGTTAACGTTCCCGCCTTTTTCATTCTCTTCCATCTTTTTTGAATTTTGGTTGTTACGATAGGTTGGGCTTCATACTTGATTTTTCATGATTCACCGCGTATCAATGTGTATACAGATGGGGTAAATCGGTAATTGTCACCACAAGGTGAAAATATCCCACCCATTATCACTTAATGATGTTTTATATTTAATTAACTGCATAGAACTGTTTGAAAGTTAGTGCGGTAAGTATATTTATCTAAAAGTTTTGAAATTTTTTGTCACTAATCTCTTTTAGTTTACGTTTTGTATGAGATTTTATATTTTGTAAAAGTTTAAGTTTATAATAATTTTATGTTAACATATTATGATTTTTTTTAAGAAACTAAAAAAAATATTAAAATGTAAATATAGAGATAAAAACACCAAAATCACAATTGAGTGTCTTTGAAGTCCCATACCTTTGTAATTTTTTCTATATATCTTTCTTAATATTTCTTATCTCTTAATTTAAATATTTTTTATCTAATATGTGAGTACCTTTTAATTTATTTATTTTTGGATTTATTATTTATTTATCTTTTGATATACATGGAAGTGATCAAAAGTATCTAATAGTAATCACTATTTTCTAAAATATCCAAAGCAAAAAAAACATCCAAAGCAAGTTGATGGATTATTTCATCACAAATTCAAATCTAAACAAAAATTCGACTTTTTTGTTTTAGGCTACGGCGAAATTAAAATGTTTAACTTGTGTAACAACTGTATTTTATACTATTCTTTTTATCAATAACTGTAATTTGATTTTTTTTTATTTTAAATATCTTATTTAATACGTAACCACACATATGTCTCATAAGTATTTTTTTTATTAGCACTCAAAGAGAAAAAGAAACAACTCAGAGATAATCCCCTAAGGGTTACCAACCCCTTCTCATCAGTTTCTAAAATATGTTTGAAAATCTTTGACAATCCTCAAAACAACACTATGAATCCTTCATCGAATAACTATAAGAAGCTAAGACATCATCCGCTAAACGATTTGCCTCCCGATAAGAATACTTGATGATCACCTCCCACTCCAAGTCTATCAACTTACAAATGTTAGAAACAAGAGTTCTACCACAATGATCAATTAGTTTACCATCCTTAATAACATCAACCACTTTCATAGAATCCACTCTCACCTTAACTTTGTCAAAATTCAAACGTTCTGCCAACTTAAAACCTTCAAATAATCCCTATAACTCCGCCAAATACAAATCTCCTCTTTCAATCACACCTTAGAGAAACCAGATATCTATTCACCCTCACTTCCTCTAATAAGTCCACCACATCCTATTATTTCTTTCATGCAAGCATCATCTATGTTCAAACACACCCATCCCCCATTTGGAGGGGTCCAACCTATCTGAACAATAGCATGCTGCCCCTTATCACCAATTCTCATAATATTCTCCGCCATCCTATAATGCATCAACCTTTGCTTAATAATCAAGTCTTGATTCTTCGCCGTCCACCATGTTTGAACTTGGAGGAATAAGGAAAATATATAAAAAAATGTTTTTCCCATGAAAACCCAGGACAAAAGTTTTCTTATATTTAAAGATTTCGAATGTGAAAGATTTATTATGATTGCATCTAGTATAAATATATTAGTGATATTTTTCTTTGAAGAAAAATTATTTAGCGATATGTACATATTGCGAGTCAATAACATCTTATTTTAGCACTGCGGCACTGACACCGGCCAAGTGTGGAATATGTGGTCGTTGTGTATTGGAAATATTAAATTTTGATACAATGTACTAATTGATATGCACAAGGGTATGATATATGACAAGAAAGATACAGAGAAGTTGGATAACTACGTAACACTATTGTTTAACTAGGTGAGGGCAACACAGGATCCTTTATCTTGTACAATTATTGTGATGTAAATGGAGTAAGACAATCAGAAACACCACGTAGTATTTGAGAAGAATCACTTATGGGTGTCCTGGGTAGAGAAGAATCAAAATTGGCCTCTCTTAGTTTTTGAAGAGCTGCAAATGATTCTCTTGTGGCAGACATGGCTTCAAAGTAGCGAGTGCAATATGCCAAAGCTACAGGAATAGGTCGAAGCATTTCCTGGATGAAGAGAAAAAATGGAATTTCGTTTAAAACTTTGATGCTTCCATGCACAACTGTAATAACATTGAAGATAGGTAACACAAGATAATTCGTGAAAACTAAGGGTCAAGGAATGCAAAATTAGTTTATCATAATGGAAACAGAAAGTCCTATCATCAATATCAATAAACAATAAAATGATTGGAGGAAGCATACCCCCCACACTGAAAGAGGCTCCTTAAAATTCTGAATCCAATGAAAATCTGCCACAGGTGCTGTCAAGGTGCCATAGTCCCTAGCTGCCTTCATCAGTAGTTCAGAGAATTGTTTCTGCAAGAATTAAAAATATATATTTAAATGTAAAAGCATTGGGACAAAAAGACTAATGTTTCCACATTATTGGAGTAATAATATAAATTTAAATGCCATCATTATATTTAAGTTTTAGTTATACAAAACATTTTGGACAAGTAAATTTCAGTTTAGCCACTCAAGCTTTGGAAAAAATGAATTAACTCAAATTGCATAAGATATGTTTTTGTATTAGGGATGTCAATTTACACTTGACTGATCGAGAAAGTGGTTAACTGTATTCCTAATTTCCATTATACATTGGATGGTGAAGCAAATAGATTAATAGTGTGTTTGTTTTGGCGTTTTATATGCCATACTCATTACGACTTCCACTGTGATTTTAAGAAGCTAGAAATACTAGCTTTTCTTCATACACTCGTCTCCACCACGAAAACAAACAGAGGCCAAGTCCCTTAATGTATAACTTTTAATGCATATCAGAAACTTATAGCTATTCTCTGCAGTCCAATTGTAGTCACTTTATTAAGTATTCTCTGCAATGCTGCATGTTGCAGTTACATGCTTTATTTTATTCGGAAAACTAAAAAAATTATCACATCATAGACTACATTTAGCGAAATATGAAACTAAATACACAGTGCGTATTGATTTAGAATGTCACTAACACAACCAAAATACCAAACACAAATACGACTGCATGTTCTGGGTGGCCAACTGTTTTGATTTATGGGAATGAGAGGTCTGATTAAATGACAAATTATGGTCACCAACCTGAAATTCTACTTCAACAGGAATGTAATCTAGGGAATATGGCTGCTGCTGCAGACGAGCTATCATGCGATTCTGCCAAATTGCAACAATCAAATAATGTTGAGAAGTACATGAATAACTAAATCACTTGAACCCCAATGACAGGATGGGAACTATTTAACAAGGAAAGCAAACAAGAGTAGAAAACAATGTAATATGGAACTTGTGGAAATTTATTTATCTATTACAGTTTAAATACCAACTACTTATGTCTCTCCTTAAGCGATTTAATGGAACTTTGTCACTAAAGGCATAGTTGCCGCCTTAAGCAAATGAAAGTCTAATAAAACAATGAATCAGACCGGCGTATCAATTAACTATAATCTGTAGTAGACTAGAATTGGTAAATGAGAAAAATAATGAACAATATTGGTTATACCTTATTCTGAATAAAATCTTTGAGAATAGAAGTAATCCTTGACAATGTCTCAATCTTCTTCTCCATTTCACTCACATGTGTCAAATATCCAAAAGTTTCATCATCCTAAAATTTCACAATTCCCAAGTATCGATTAAAAAAGAGTTTAAAGCTAAAACACTATAAGTGGAGATCCAGATCGACAAAAAACCAGAATTAATAAGGCTGACCTTTCGACCGTAGAGTTCAATTTGCAATTCTGCTATATTTTTTTGAACAGTGGTTAGTTCTCTCAAAACCTTGATCAAGTCCTCACCATTTTCCTCAGTTGCTCGAGATGAATTCTGCAGTATAAAAATAAAGAGACGCGTCGTTAACAAACCTCAATTCAGAAACAACTGACAAGAGAGATTGGCACCTGGAATGAAGGTGTAGACACCGAGAAACCAAGATCATTTGCAATTGACAAAGCAGTAGACATTCCGCCTCCGCGTCTTACAGGCTTCCTCCCAACCCAACTCGACGCGCTTGACATCAACATTTTCAAATTCCAACTCAAACACTATTCTACTATTCTGCATTGAAAGTTGAAACTACATATTTTTATGATTGACAATTTGGCACAAATAATTGCATGTAGAATGATGCAGAAAATTAATCTCAACACAGTTTCTAACAACATTCAATTACCGTATTCTAAAATTTTAATTCACATTTCAACTTCATAATTCGTAATCATAATCACAAATCAAATTTCTTCGTAAAAGGAATACGTAATCCGTTTATATATTAACCACAAACAAGACGGTCGACCAGGCCTACATTGTTCATTCAATACATCGCATTCGCAGTGTTCTTGGTGAAAACAGAAAATAAGGTTAAAGAATCTCACTCTACCTGAATCTTGATGAAGAGTCTCTACTTGGTATTGAGTCTGTGGTAGGGTTTATTCGCTAAACCACCGAATAACCATCGTTGATTTTCTATAGAAGTTTTCAGAATGTGTGTGCGTCTCAGAGGGAGAAACGATCGACGTAAAGGAAAGGAGAGAAGGAAGTAATGTAGTTTTCAATGTTTTTAGTCCTTATAAATAATTCAAAATCTAGTTTTAATTCCTTTTAAGAAATGTCTCATAAATTTTTTTGGTCTTTATTTTTAGTTCCAATAGTCTATTTCATTAAAAGGAAGCATAAGGGGACGATGACTCAACCATTTTTTTAAATTTTGAATATAAGTAATTCTGAATAATAAACTACCAAGTAGTTAGGATCTATTGGACAACTTAAAATGCAAGGATATTCACTTAAAGTATAATTAGGATTAAAGTTAGAATATAAAGAGGATTTTCGTTCTTGCTGAAAATTTTAATCGAGTTCATCGCTCTTTTATTCAAGTGTTAGGTCTACGTAGAAGGTTCGTGCTATATTTCTTTCTTCTTCAAACGAGTGCTTCCAGTTAGTTCAACTTAGCCATTGTAATACTAACTGTGTATTTTCATTTTGGTTGCAACTAATTTTTTCCAAGTTTATCGCGTTTTTTTGTGGTCCCAAAATTGTCTTGAAAGATTCATGTTTGTGGTCCCTCAACATTGAATCTGAGGTAGGTCCACATGTTTTACTTTAGATTCTATTTTATTGAAGTTTGGTCTAGAGTTTGTATTTTAGTTACATCGTATTTAGTAATTATGGTTTTCTGCATACTAAGTCAAATATGTGGATTCATTGTTGACTATCTTTCTCTCTCGATTGTGTAGGCATATGTGTCTTTAAGGTAGTACTTTATACAAAAAGTTGTTTTGTAAAAGACCATATGTTAAAGTATGAGAATGGGGAAGTTTACGCATTTAATGGTCAAGATCTTGTTTGTTGGTCTTTTTGAGATGTGTGGTTTAATTAAGGAATGGATCCTGAGTTTGAATATAAAGATGTTAGAATGTGGTGGAAATATGGTGATGGTAGTTTAGAAACTGATCTAAATCCATTTAGGGATTATAGTGATGCATTTGAGTTAACTGCCTTTGTTCAAAACTACAAAAGTGAGGTTGAAATATACACTGAGTCCAAACCAACTACAGGGGATGCAACATTTATGAAGAATGCAAGAAAGAGGAACAAAGGGATAAAAAGGTGAAGATGATGTGAATTCATGTACTGATGAGGGTTCTAGTAATGAGTCCGTGAATGATATCAAATTTGAATATAGTGAAGAAGAAAGGATGAATGAATTCGATGAGGGTTTTTATGAGGGGTTTGATGAGGCTTTTGATGGTCATCCCACAAACATACCTGTTGCAGATGGTACAGGCTCTAGTTGTTGGAAATCCACAAAATATCTATGATGAATTTCTACCAATCTTGATAAACAAGATTGATATCACCATACAATGACAATGCATTATGAGAAAAGAAAAGAAAAGAAAGAAGACAACTATTTTCTGCAGAGTTTCTCTCTATCCATAAACTGTGGAAAATTTTATTAATCACTTGCAACTGCAAATTATGTGATTACAATGAATTGACTTAATTATAAAATTAGGGGTTACTCCCTCTATTTATAGATTTAGGTTAGTTTGCTCCCTAAGTCAAAGCCAAAAACTATAAAAGCCCAAAATACCAATTTTGGTACTAAATCAAATCTATCTATTTTAGATCTAAATCAAAATTTTCTAAATCTAAAACCAATCAAATCTGTATGTAGCTTGCTTATCCACAAGCTCTTCGACTGGACAACCTCCCTTCGACACACACATTGTCTCGACATAATCGAATTACAATTTAAGACACCATCTAATTCATTGTGTCTAAACTATCTATATTCATCATGGTTCTTAGTCTTCTAAATATTTTGATCTGCACTCTCTTCGTCATGATGTCTGTAATATGATTCTTAGTTCTGCAGTGCTCCAAATTCATCTTCCCATCTGCTACCTTCTCTCGAAGATAGTGAAACCTCATTTCGACGTGCTTGCTTCGACCATGTGTTATCGGGTTCTTTGCCAGATTGATAGTTGACATGCTGTCGATCTTCATGGTAATTTCTCCATGATCTTTTTCTGTTATCTCTTCGACCAAGTTCACCATCTAAGTTGCTTAACATACACAAAGAGAAGCATCTACGTATTCTGCTTCACATGATGATAATGTCACTACTAGTTCCTTTCTTGAACTCCAAGCAACTGGTGCACCACCTAACATAAACACATATTCTGCTGTCGATTTTCGATCTTCAGCATCACTACACCAACTCAAATCAGTGTGTTGTACCCCAAAATTTACCCTCTCACTTATCAAGAATTTTCTCACAAGATCTTATTGGGCTCAAGACTGCACTAGGGTTTGATCAGCTCAAGACACCTCCTTAAGCACTTATGACCAAAATTAGGGTTTGAGTTTGCACAGGGATTTTTGAACTATCAATGCTTCATATGACTTTCATGGATCATTATGGACTCCCAAGATCACTCATGTCAAGTTTCAAGTCTTGGATCACACATTTGATCAGTCAATTGAACAATTGACCTAAAAATTAGTTGTATTGGGGAAAAAGTCAACCATGGCCAATTTACAGTCAAACTTCATAATTTTTTATCCACATAAACATTTTAAACCCATATGTATCATTTGATCAAGTTTGGACCATAATTCCTCAAGAAATTTGATCAAATCTCCAGAGAGGCAAAATGGTCAAAATTAGGGTTTTGACTGGGAAAGGGCAATTTTTGATTTTTGACCTAGCAAATGATCAATTAGTTAAAGGAATGATCTCAAGATTCCAATTGAATCATTTTGACCTAATGACATGATTCAAAACATTGCAAGACCATTGGATTGACAAATGAATTTTGCAGTCAACTGATCAAAAGTCAATTGTATACTGAAAAGTCAAATTTAAGTACCAAGGATCATAATCCATCAAAACATGTCAAAATATGAAACTTATTCATCAAGAAACCAAGAAATCAAGATTTCATTTTGAAAAGTCAAAATTTCTAAACTTAGAAATTTTTCTAAGTGTTGGAAATTTCTTATTTTTTCATAACTTTGAGCAATTTTTTAATTATGATGCAAGATGATTCAAAGGAAACTTCCAACATGAAAGTTGTAGATATCCATGAAATCTACAACTTTTCTTCACATAACTTCTCATAAAAATTCTTGGATCTCAAGTTATAATTTTGTGAATACATGCTCATGAACTAAAAAAGACTTAGTGAAATTTTGCCCTAGTTAGGCAGATTTTTGACCTAACTTCATGACACTTTTTCATATAGTTCCAAGGGGAATCTTCAAAATAAATTCAAAGATGACTTGTATAGAACATTGCAAGCTTTCCAAAATATCCAAGAACTCCTTGAGATCATTCTTGAGTAGGTAGAATCGAAGAGATGAAGTTGGTGTTTTGTCACTTGGATTACAAGCCATTTTGTGAAGAACACTTGGTCCAATCTTCAAGCATGTTGTACAAATCTCACTTTGCAGGCTTTTAACTTGACTTTCACTCCATAACTAAATGTTTTCACAGTTGTTGGAAGCTTTAATCCAAGCATTCAATGTATTGTACAAATATAATTCCATTTTGGGAAGAAAGGCAACATTGCCATTTTAGAAAAGCAAGCTTTATGCAAAGTCAGCTTGCATTGAGCCTTGCATTTGTTCTTTCTGAACAAACACACTCTACATAATCAGAAAAAGTGTGTTTAAAGGTTTCATCCACCCTACAAGCCTTGTACCTTACATTGAAACCATACTTGTCAACTTTTCTTCAAAAACAAGTAACCAAGCCATAACATGTGATTTTCAAATTCGGAGTTGTGACAAGCCTCAAAAACTCTTGCTTATAAGTATATACACTATTTGCAAGTTGACACACAGATTCTAGTACCCTGAAACCACCTCAAACACTCAATAACCATAAACCTGTTCAAGAACACCATTAACACACAAATCTGAACCAAAACTCATGATCTTCATTTCCACTCGTGCGTTTTGAAAACTAATCACTCAGACACTTTCTATACATCATACCAAAACAATCCATACCCTTGTTTCCTCACTGTAACTCCTCCATTACTATCCACCATTTTCAAATATCAAGCTTGCAGGTTGACTTGAGTAGAGATATTCAGGGACTTTCAAGGCAAAGTAAGAGTTGGAATACACTCAAGAAGGTCCAGGCAAGCTAAACAGATCCTCAGGCCATCTCAAAAGTTGCTCAAACTCCATTCACGACTTCAGCTGCAAGAGGTAAAAACTCAAACTTCTATCTCTTCATACAAGCATCATTTGATCATGATTTGTGAAAATAAAATATAGATATCTTTGCTCTAAAGCTGACCATGTTCATAGTTCTCATTTATATTGACTGTGTATAAAGAATTTTAGATCTAAATTTCTGAGAAAATTAGGTTTCAATTTAGGGACAACAAAATTAGATTTTATCTTTGACCTTTAGCTTACATAAGTTATATGGTTGAATTCGTGGGATGAAACACCACAACTTTCATGTTTGAACTTTCCATTTTTGTGGAGAGATGAGGAAGAT